CGAAAAGGCCTTTACTTGGGTCCATTCCTACTTGGTGATAGCTACTACCCAAATCGAGATTATTGGACCATTAGTTTCCACTAAGTGCGCCCAGACGGTCCCTTTTTCTCGGTAGCGGGAAATTGTCCTTAATTGACAGGTCTATTATTTTTCTTAAATCAATACACAGGCGAGTTGAGTGATCATGCTTACGAGCAACCACAACGGGGAAGTTCCATGGTGACTGTGATTGACGTTTGATACTCCCCAAGCATTCATTGTATTTTTTCGACAACTTCCTTTCATTGAGCTGTAAAGTCGCGTCGTTGGTTTTGATTTACAGGAGGAGCATCTCCTGTATTAACTTCATGTTGTTTTATATCTGTTCTACTCAGGTCATTGTTTGACATTGCAAAAGGTCCAAAGTATTCAGTCAAAAGGTCTGTTACCATATTTTATATTGATTAACCTTAAGGTTATCTTTATATTTTTTCAATAAAAACTTGCACATGTTCAGGTAAAACAAAATCAGACTCGATTTATATTTTCCAGAATGTTTTCTGAATTTGGAGTTTCAGCTATACCAACACAAGTATTTTTATATAAGGTCTAGGGCAAATCAGTCGCATTCATGATACTTACATTTAATTTATCTCCCTTGAATGTGCAAATAGATATTGCAACATGGACACCCTTGTTCTTAAAAGACTGACTGGTATTGTAAAGAATCATGGTTATACAATACAATGTTTCTCATTTTGGTTGTGCAAGAATAATGGTTTCTTTATAAGGGTGTATTTTCACTTGTTTGTCCATTGAAATTTAAAACAAACTAGGTATTTGACTCTCTAACTGACAACCCACTGTCTTATTGGTCAATAAATGAGTTTTAAATGGTACATCAATCACACAGCGATTGTAATACATGAAATCATAACCTAGTACAACAGGTTTGTCAATATCAGCAACCATAAAATGTTTTTAAATGTGCTGATCATCTAGCAATAATGGTAATTTAATGGTGCTTGATGGACATGATGGTCAAACATTATGCCCGTCTGCCATTTTCAAGTCATTTCATATGGTTGTAAGAGAGGAGAAATATGTCAAAAACAAACTGACAACGCCATGACAAAAAAAACGACCTAAAGATAAACAACAGAGTACAAAACACAACATAAAAATTAAAAACTGAGCAACACGAATCCCACCAAAAACCGTGGGTGCTCCGGAAGGGTAAGCATATCCTGCTCAACGTGTGGCACCTGTCGAGTTGCTCGTGTAACTGCAAACCTATTGATAAGTCTAATTTGGTAGTAACATTTCAGGAGAAGAGAACAGGAATGTGGTTACCTAGTTTTACAATGCTCAGGCAAACTGTAAAAAAATGGGATTTAAGACACTAATTGATGCCTAAGTATCAATTCAACAATGAATGCTTATATTAAAAATTTCAGTTTTCATGAATTAACAAACATGATCATTAGTTTTAAGATATTGATTCCTTTAAGGAATATCAAAAGTTAAATCACAAAAATACTGAACTTCGAGGAAAATTCAAAACGGAAAGTCCCTAATCAAATGGCAAAATCAAAAGCACAACCACATCAAACGAATGGACAACAACTGTCATATTCCTGACTTGGTACAGGCATTTTCTTATGTAGAAAATGGTGGATTGAACCTGGTTTTATAGCGCTAAACCTCTCACTTGTATGACAGTCGCATCAAATTCCATTATATTGACAACGATGCGTGAATAAAACAGACAGACATAAAAGGTAAAAATGTCAAAATAGGGGTACCATTGTCAACACCGTGTTCAGCTGGGAGGCGACCCTCTCGGCTAGCAACTAAAGTTTCCCTGTTTTGATGAATTTGTTGTGGACACTTCATTTCTTGGTTTGTTATTTGGGTTGGTTAAAACCTTGATTGTTGTAATCTTTGTTATATTGTCCATTTTTTATTTGTTGAATGAATTGTTTGTTGTGGGTAATGCGTTTTTTACAATCCCTTTTAATATGTCCTGGTTTCCCACAATAATAGCATGCTCATTTTCCTGAATAGCCCCTTTAAAATGGGTTTTATGCACAGTATAACTAGTATTAACTTCACTAACATCAGCAAGTTTCCATAAATTTGGTTTTCTACGGCTTGCAAGAAAAGCTTAATATTTCGGAGCTAAATTAAGGGCATCATCATGGTAAAGGCCCAAGCAAGGTCGTAATCATCAGTCAATGCCTCTCTAAAGCAATGATAAGCAAGACTACTTAACTTCTCTTGGTGTGCTTTGGAGAAAACCAGTTGACAAGCCTTTTTAATATCCTGGGCAACTTCATTCTGGGCTAGGTATTGGTATAAATATTGATTTTGTTAATAGTATCAGTAAATTAAAACCATACTAAATATTATTGTAATACCATATGCACATTCATGGTACTACAATCAGTTGATACCTATCTTTTGGCATTGCAAAAGGTCATGTTTTTCTCGGACTGTTATTGCGAACCAAATGATACTTTTCCACAGATTCACTTGAAGGTTAGCTGTCGATTTAAACTTTTGCAAGTTCTATTGTCCCATTGAATAAATACAATAGCTATTGTTCTCTGTGTAGTTTATTTTAAATTTCTTCTAGGAGAAATCTATCACTCATTGATTAATTTACCCGAGTAAAAAAAATTTCTTATAAATAGACAAAATTACATGTTTTATACTCAATAAACTGTTATCACAGAGATATGTCTCGCCTTTTTGTACTTTTGATAATGCAAATGTTGAAATTAGAATAGCAATACTTTAACATGTAAGTTATGCAAATATTCAAAGTCGAGGAACCATGACTGAAGGTACATGGCTGAACAATCTCCATGAAAATGATATGTGCCAATGTTAATACAACTGCATACCAAATATTATTGACTTATCATAAGTCGTTCCCTTTAAACAAACCTAAACACAAACATTAACTTGTAAACTATGCAAAAGTTTCAAAGTCAATGAACCATGATGAGGGGGTGGGGCTTTATAATCTGCATGGAAAAAAGACTTGCAAATGCCAATAAATTTGCATAACAAATATCATTAACATAACATTAGCAGTTCATCTTAAACTGATCTAATCACAAACTAATACATATAAACTAAGCAAATGTTTCAAAGTCAATAGACCATGACTGAGGGGACGGGGCAAAACATTCTCCATGGAAATGAGATGTGATAATGCTTATACAACTGAATACCAATTAACATTGGCATACCACTAATGGTTCCCCTTGAACTGACCTAATCACAAACTAATACATGTAAACTAAGCAAAATTTTTAAAGTCAATAGACCATGACTAAAGGGGCGGAGCCAAATAATCTCCATGGAAATGAGATATGCCAATGCTTATACAACTGCATACCAAATATTATTGACCTACCACTAGTGGTTCCCAATAAACTGACCTAATCACAAACTAATACATGTAAACTAAGCAAAATTTTCAAAGTCAATAGACCATGACTGAGGGTGCAGGGCCAAATAATCTCCATGGAAATGAGATGTGCCAATGCTTATACAACTGCATACATAATATCATTGACCTTCCACTTGTGGTTCACCATAAACTAGACCTAATCACAAACTAATACATTGTTGACACCGCCGACGCCCCTGTCGTAGTCGTCTTCGTCGTCGCCAATGCCGCCGTCGTCGTCGCTGACGCCGGAAACAGAATACCTATGTCTTGCTTTTTGACTCTGTCAAGGCGAGACAAAAACTGCATGTGATGTTGTGTTTATTAAGTATTAATAATATATTTTCAATGTTCCATATAAACACTGATTTAATCATAAAAAGTTGTTTTCTGAAATTTTTTTTAGCATTGTTCCTATTAAAATTTGCATTTTTTGTTTTTGTTTAGTAATAGAACACTTTTAAGAAGGTCTTAATTTGAGCATCATAATTTTCCAGTTTTTATTTGTCAAACAAGACCAAAATTTACATAGGAACAATGATGAAAGTTTTGTCAGAAATCAACTGAATCACTGTTTACCATTAACAGACTGAAAATATATTATTAATATTGAATAAATACGACATCACATGCAGTTTTTCAGTATAAATCATGTAATTTTGTCTATATATAAGACAATTTTTACTCGGGTAAATTAATCAATGAGTGATAGATTTCTCTTAGAAAAAATTTAAAGGTCCCAGTGAATAAACTTCACAGAGAACAATAGCTATTGTATTTATTCAATGGGACAAAAGAACTTGCAAAAGTTTGAATCAACAGGTAACCTTCAAGTCAATCTGTGGAAAAGTATCATTTGGTTCGCAATAATGACATCTTTACACTAAATCCATTAGATGTTGGATGTGTATTGATTGATATTTTAGTCTTAGATACACGATTTTTTTTAGTTTTTATTGACTTTGAACTAGCTGTCAGTAACTGGGAGTACTCACAGATCTCTACTTTGTGTCTTTCTGTTGTAATGGATGTATAAATACCCTGCCACATCCAGTTTGTGTTTTTCATAAATATGTTTCTGCTTATATCAATCTGATGAGTTCTGCCCTTTTCAACTGATTTTTATAGTTTGATCTTATGTTGTACTTTTACACCACTGTCCCAGGTAAGAGGGGGGTTGCCACTTCTAACAAGTTTAACCCCACCACATTCTTTATGTGCCTGTCCCAAGTCAAGTGACTGTAGTTCAGTGGTTGTCGTTGGTTCATGTCTGTCATATTTGTTTTTAGAAATTGTTTTGTAATAAATTAGGCCGTTAGTTTTCTCAATTGAATTGTTTCATATTTTTCATGTGGGGCCTTTTATAGCCGACTCTCCTCTATGGGTTTTTCTCATTGTACGGTTGATAATTGCTTTCTTCTTCTTCATTTAAACTTTGATGGATAGTTGTCTCATTGGCAATCAAACCACATCTCCTTATTTTTATATAAGAAAGTTCAAAATCATCTAAGATAAACTTTGATGAGAAAACTGGCATAAATATTAATACATATAACTGTTTATATTATTCATATTTAATGTTCTTTTATTTCTAAAACATCTACTATCAAGCTAAAAATAGGGACAACATTGTATAGACTTAAAAGGAAGCACATACAACCATAGACTGGTATATAAAGACAACTATTCATTTAAAACCACACTAAAAAAAATAATCATACATTCATTAATATCAGAAACAGGAGTTTTTTACAATATAAGTGCACTGTTGGAAAAGCAAAATTGATTTGCTTCAAAAACAATAAAAAAAGAGGGCTATTTTTCCTGTTTCATAGAAAGTAAATATTAATTGTACATTGTCAAACATTGAACTCTTTTTTCTGAATTTTAATACTCATGCTTCAATTTTTGAAACTTATAATTCCCAATCATTGATTTAATTTTTCATAGAAACTGACACTGCTCGAATGCAAAATCACCAAGACTCCAAAATGAAATGTGATATCAGCAATAATTTGAATGTCACCATACCCTTGTAATAGAAGCAGGATACCAGGCAATAATATCTCTATACAAAACAAACATTGCATTGGTTAGTAAAATAGGTCATTGCAGGAAAAAGGCCAAAAATGTTGTTTCAAGAAACGTTTTATCTAGCATATCTTTAAAAGTTTTACATACATATGAAATAAAAGAATTATGAGACAATCAATAATAAAAAACTTTAATTTTAATACTTCTTTTTCTTCTATCTACCAAAAAAATCTATAGCTGAAATATAATTATAAAACTTTGCTCATAGAGATATATGTCCCAACAAAATTGGAAGCAGGGAAAAACGAAACTATCTCCTGACCTAAATGGATCAGAAAACTTGACATTAAAACAATAAAGTAACTTAAAATTAAATATAGTACTAAGGCATCATGCCTTAAAATTGCAACAGCATATCAAATATTGGTTTTCTATCATACATACTTTTATACAAACAAAAGTAATTAAGAAAAGAAAAAAACAAGCATTAGCATACCAAAGATTCATCACTTATCCACAGCACTTCTTGTATATTTATCAAACAGATCTCCATTTTAATAAACAATGTGAAAACTTATAAAAGTCACTCAAGTATAAGTGAAAAGAAATGGTTTTATATTCAACTTGAACTTGAACACAGGGAATTTCACAACATAACTGATATAGAAAAATGTTAAAATACCATCTAATTTACTTTTCTTTCTTGTAAAATAATTATTGTGACTATTTTGGAACTATGATCACTAAAATGTTTTTAATAACACAAAAAAAACCAGATGCATCTATAATCATACAGATAAAATTCATGAAAGATATTGTATGAATTGAGCAACTTTAATTAACTTCATGACACAGATATCAAAAGGCAGGTTTTAAACCATGATTTTACTGCAACATATTTACCGGTAAAATTTACTTTACTCATTGACTACAAATATACCTATTAAAAAATTTGAATACTGAACAAATACATGGCTTTTAAAAAGCAATAATACACAAAATGTGGAATTAACTAATGCTACTGAGGTAAGAGATTCAGTTTGATTTAAAATATATTACATAAGACAATATTGTTATAGCCAATTGTTACATAAATTTCTTTGGCAAGTTCTTGGAAACATGATACTTTAAAGGGGAATAAATAAAGCCAATAAGTTTCAAGACTGTTCTGTTAAAGCATACATGGGACCCAGGGAAGACAATTTGTAATCTCAACTCTTAGCGAGTGACAAGTAGAGTGAAAATGTAACTGAAATTCTAAATTTGCTTCTAAAGGGGGTTACCCAATTTTGAAAGTGCCTTCCCTGGGTAGCATTTATGTTTAAATGGAACAGCCCTTATAATAATTATATCTATATATTGAGTCCATAATATGAAGATAATATAAATGAACTATTTAAATGAAATAAACTTATTAATTGACCTGGGCATGTAGAACAGTTTATAGATGGCATACATATTGAAATCATTGACAAAAATACTTTTTCCACCTTAAACCTTTTCTAACAAACTAGGTTAATTTTTTTTTAACTTTTCTTTGCAAGATTGTGCTACTCAATAGAACAGACCAATTCTCAAAATGAATTTTACTCATGGTATTAGGAATTAAAAAAATATTTTTATTCATGGAGTTCATTTAAGCTCCATTTAATTATAAATTTAATAGGTAGGATCTACAAAGTGAATCGAACAAAACAAATGAGAGAAATTTCAACTTCCATTTGAAAATGAGGGCATGTTGAACAGGGGTAGAAATTATGCCTTGCATCAGGACCACCTGCAGACCTCTCAAAAATTTGTTTCAAGGGTTCTTTAACATACAGAGAGCATGGCTAATTGAAAGAAAAAACGTCAAAATAATACTTGGTAATTTATAATCAATTAAGAAACCCATTTAGTTTTGGATAGCAATATTACAGGAGATATACTACTGTATGAATAAAAACCGTACCAACATTTGTCTGTTGACTTAGAATGACTTAGAATGACTAGGATGAGGACTAGGATTATAACCAAAATCATGCAAGTGTTAACCAATTGCCTAGCAAGTAGTAGGTTCTTTTTCAATTTTATATTTAAAGGAGCAGATTTGACAAAAATATCAGGTTATAAAATCAAATTGCACAAGTGTAGATCATTTTAATTATGCTGAAACAATTTTGACCATAGCAATACTGTTATAAATATATAAATATATATATACTGTAATTTCAGAGATATTTGCATATGCATTAATTACATTTTATTGTGATTGTTGAACAATGAACAAAAATGTGAGATTTATTATTCAGGAAATGCTGCATACAAATAATGCTAGTGTTTATTATGGTGAAAACTATTTCACAATTTGACAAAAAAAAAACATCACAAAAATTTCTGAATTTGCAGTACAAAACAAAATTCTTATTGAACTGAATGGTTGCAATAAAATTATTCAACAGCTGTAAGAGTAAGTGTAAATGATTAAAATAGCTATTTTGAGTTTTTGTATTTTCAAATGATACGTACAATGTACCTACAAAGTATGAAAACTTTTCATTGTCTCAATCAGAGGTTGAACAAATATGTTTAAATTTCCTCAATCTAGTTTATATGCTATTTATAACTTTGATATTCTAAATACTTAAAAAAAACTTATCATTTGACAAATCTAAAATATAAACCAATCTTTACAAAAAAAAAGCTAAGATATAAATAACTAAAAAACAATACTTTAATGAGGTATTCCTTAATGCTGATGAAAAATCAAGGCATGCAGCATATGAAATATAAAGCATAATTATGGGCTGGCATTTACATTTTGCAAAAGTACATGTATGTTCATCTCAAGAAAATATGGGAATAAAGTCTTCAAAAATAAAGTTATAATCTTTTAATCCTTTATATATTTTAATATATTCTTGAGAAAATTTAAAGGTATAACTTAATTATCATTAGCATTTTATCTTAATATATTTTGTGAATAAAGTTGGATATATGTCATCACTGCTACAAGTTCTCAAAAAAAAATTATGGGTGATCACTTCCAGCTTATAACCATTTAGGTCGGGCATGGTTCTCTTTTTCTAATCATTTGTAGAAAAGATGTGTCCGGATTAATACATGAATGCCCTAGCTGGTGGAATGGTGTGATGGTTCTGAAATTCTGTAAAGAGAAGGTCAACAGAAAGGAAACGATTTGAAACTTACTAGTTTATACTTTTAAACCAAAAATCAGCTCGATATCAGGCATAACAATTAAAAAAAAGTCTGGATAAATTTTGGCATTCACAATTACAAAACAAATGATGGACTTGGATAACACTATATGCCCCTGCTCCTGGCATGAAAATGATGAAGTATACTCAACCTACTAGAATAAAATAGACTTTGTCAATTTCTCGTCAATGTTGACTGGTTAAGTTCAGTCATTCTTGTTTACCCCATCAATAGAAATGGCATTAAAACAATGTATGTATATAGTTATTATTGTACATTACAAATACTTTGCAAAAAAAAAATTGTTATGGCATCTGAACTTTTTTCTTGTAGAAAGTTGAATAAAATTTACTTTGTTGCTAAAAACATACAACATGTAGAGTAAGACCAGATCATTAGTAGAACAAATTTTTTGTTAGTAATAATAAAAAAACAAGTTTTCAAAACAAAAAATCATGGGTCCACCACCAATTTATCTCAAAAATAGATTAAAGGTAATAATCAGCAAAAATTATGTTTTGTAGAAATTTATTCTACAATATAAAAGCAATAACGACTAATACCTTGAATTTCATCCTCTTGATATTGTATTGAACAATTATGACTGATTTTTTATTACAATCAGTATAAACATAGCAATGAAATAGTAAGTATGTTCAAAATTTGAATGACAGATGTTCTGTTGAGCCTTGTGAATTAAGGAATAACAGTTATGTATTTGAAGACTAGTCATCATTCATTGGGGATTCGACAGTCACAAAAGCAGTTTTACTGGCTATTCGTGTATTCAGTAAAATGGCAGATGATAAAACATTTACGGTACATTTATGCTGATCGTAATCATGATGAGATCTACTACTTTAAAACTGAGAATGAACTGTATAAAAATTTATTCGAACAATTTTACTGCCTGATAATAGATTAACATACAAGGCAAGACCATACAACATAAGCACTAGTTTAAACAACTTTAAAATGGCATGTGTAAAAGTTCAATTCACTAGAGCCCAGAATATTGTCATTTCTACTCGTATTTTGAATAAATTTGCTTGTGTTAATTCAAATATAGTGAGAATGAAAATCAAAGAATTATGTCGTCGTATCTAAAAATAATACTCTAGAAAGCATATCACAGCATTTACATCTAATGCACAATCCCTTCATCTAAAATTATTAATCTTTTATTTACAAAATAATGTTATTCTGAAAATCAAAATTGCACTCACACAAATGGCATAAAATTGTTATTTTGATAAAAAAAAAATGCACAAATCAATAAAAACAAAACAAAAACAACTGACTATTCTCATAAACAAATATTGAACACAAAGTTTTTAATATATAAAGTCATAAAATTTGTAGTTAAAAATAAAATTGAACTTTACACAATTATATACATTTTAAGAAACTTGTAAGAATTGTTTAAAATTACATATGTTTATCATACTAACAGTCTCATTAACGATTTATAATCCATGATTTAACAATAAAACGGTGGTTTATATTACACGATCACTTTGATTTATACATGAAACTCATCAGAAATAATACAACTTTATATCAGATAGAATTGACCTTCACATTAAATAACATTTTAATTTCACCTCTGATAGGATATGACCTTCACATCAGATAAGATTCAAACTCCACATCAGATAAGTTTGTAACTTCACATTGAAAGGATATGACCTTCACATCAGGTAGGATTGACCTTCATATCAGATAGGATTTGACCTTAACATCAGATGTAGGATATGACCTTCATATCAGATATGAGGTGAACTTCATGACACATAAAATATGACCTTCACATCAGATAGGATCATACATTCATTTCAAATAAAATATGACATTCAATAATATTTAGGAACTCATAATAATCTATCTATTCACCTTATGTAGCAAACATTTCTAGTATTTTCAATTGAACCAAATATTTTCATGAATTGTTTTTAACTATTTCAATTAAAATGTTCATCATTACACTAAAGTAACTACTTAACATAATTAATAATTAAATTTGACATCATGGTATAAATACTAACAATTTCGTTTTCATTCAAACTATAAAGTGTTTAAGGAATAACTTAACAATTGAGATTTTTCTTGTGAAAAGAGAGGACAAATTTTAATTGATTCCTTATACACTTTACATGAATTTTCTACTAGGTTCACATTTTTGAAAATTTGTATGGTCATTCGTGGATAATTTTTGTTAAAACAGTAAGAATTTCAGGTTCATATCTACATATGTCATTATCAGAGTAAAAATAGGACCATTGATACAGAAGGTAACGGTCATAATCTTCTGCTTCTTTCTTTCTACAGTGAATATCTCTAAAACAAAATGTAGAAATAGTAAGGTGAAATAATAAATTTCTTGCTAAAAAGAGTTTAAGAAGGTCAATTTTATCAGATGTGTTTTTTACGGTAATCTATGAGCTACATTCATGACATATTTTGTTTTTTATTATCTTCCCTTTATTTTAGTTTTTAACACATCCACCTCTACTGAATTCACAATGTAATACTTCCATATAAATAAAAAATACATCTTCCAAATATTTTGTTTTCTCTTTCCATTTACAACCCATGCAGCACTGTAAGACGTGGTTATATTAAGTATTCTTTGAAGCTAATCCATCTTCAACCTTTTAATATAAGCTATATATCAATGTGGCACAGTGACATCTATCAGCTTTTCTTTTCTTTATCTGGTGCTTTAGTAAGATTCTTATGACAAATGTTACATACAAGAACAGTCTCTGTCTGTGCACTGGGAGCTGAAATGTAAGTATTGCTTATTTAATAAAAGAAAGTGGAGAAGTTAACAAGGGGACAATCAAAACTGTAACACAACGACCAAAAGAAAAACAAGTTGAGAAAACACCACACAAAAAATTGATATTGAGCAACAAGAATCCTTCAAAAGTTGGAGGTACATGTAATTACTCAATTAACTCAATTATTCAGGAAGGTAGTAAGCAATTCCTGTTCCAGTAATGGCAGCTGATGTATGACTTTAGAGGTGAATTGATCAGGCATCAAAATAATTCATAAAGCCAGTGATATCTGGGTTTCATTAATTCTCATGCTTTTAAGCCAGTTATTAAACAAATTCCATTTTTATTTTCTCATGGTGAAGCAAAATTTTGTTATCTGAGCTTATAACATTAGTTTATGTTGCATGTAAAAAGATAAGCTATTCAGCTTAATGCAAAATATAATAAAGTATATTTCCATTAGCTTGTTAAAGTTTGTTATTATGCAACCAACATGACACGTTTTTACTACTTATGAAACTGTAGTATTTCATGATGATTTAATTTGTTACTTATTTACTTGATTAGTCTATCAGTGAATTTATGTGTTATGTAAACAAACACATGTTTCTGTTGAAACCTAAACCAAAACATTTCAAATCAATCAGTTGCATTAAAAATAAAAGTCATTATTAAAGTCCTTGTAAAAATCAAAGACAACAACTTTTAAAGAAACACTGAAAAGATAAGACAAAATAATAACTCATGAAGGCAATTTTAGAATTTCCTTTTGTTCTAAAAGAATCTGTTGGTGTTGAAGACAATACAGTAACCTCTATCACGATATGGTGTTGATGTCAAATTTTAATCATTACTCTTGGTTAAGGATGTAGTCAGGTCAGGTTTAGGAATTTTCGTCAGATGTTCGGACTCCTTGGGTTTTATCCTACGATACAGGGTAAAATATTTTGCCCCATAACACCCACTTTTCTTTTCATATAAGACTTCAATAGCTCATAAAGATCATTTACCAAAATTTAAGCAGATTCAAGAATTATTTTCTTACGATTTGAGACCCAAATAATGCCAATATAGATATAAGGTAAAAGTCTGAGTCAGCCTTTTCCCACCATTTTTTAAAAATTAAATATCTCGAAAAGAAGTTCCATAACCTATCAATATTTTTAGCTTATTTTGTTCCTCAACTAATGCTCTTCTGATATAAAGTATCAATTTTAAATTCTAGATTTTTAAAATTTCACCTAACTACATCCTAAGTCCAAACTAGTACAGAATTGGAGTGATTAAAACCTTGCTTAAATCTTTAATATGTCCATTTGTCTATAATTGAAGATTAGAATGACCTCTATGTTAAATGTTTGAGTGTTATCGGATTGCTGAATCATAGATGTTTACTTTACACCTCCTTTTATGCTTATCTTAATATTAATTAACTGAGTCATTTATTCCTTTTGTTGTTGACAATCACTAAAATATAGGGTTGTATAAAAAAAATTCAAAAAAGATTTATAAGTTTTTGTGACTTGTATTTACTTTCAGATTCTATTTTTTTATTATTAATATTGAAAATAATTTGTATTTACTTACCAGTAGCGCCGAATACAGATTTTGGCACTCGTTGGTTACAACATTTAGAACAGAAATTGTTTCCACAATGTCGACAATAAAACTGAAAAAATTACATATTAATAGTACTTTATAGACATCATTATAGCAAGGAAATCTTTTTAACCAGTCAGGTGAAAATACATGTAATCTGATTTGCAATAATGGAAAAATACAAGTAGTTTCTTATCAATATTCATCATGAATTATTTCTTTTAAGGGACTCATATGTATGTGTTTTTTATCAAATACTGCCAGTGCTGAAGAGAAAAAGTTGTGTATCTATTTAAACTACCTCAGTCTGGGATTGTTTTAAGTATTTCACATTCTGGTTCTTTTTCTCAGAGCTGTTACAACTCCTCCATGAACCAACATTGTTATGCAATATTTTTGTGTAATGATTTCTTCAGACCTTCCATCAACTCCCACTACAAATTGTAAAACTATCTATCAGTTGAAAAACGTTAAAACTGCATAGGTTGTATGAGTTTTAGTGAGGAAACAACAAAAAATATGGTCTCTTTTATTTGAAATATATCACAGTTCCAGCTATTATTTTCTAAAGAACATGTAATTTTATGTTTTATTTTCTTTCTAAATATGTGCACACTTAAGTTATGTTTATAATATATGTATTGTGTTTTTTCCCTCTAAATATACATACTCTTCTTTTTAGAATTGATGCAAATGACACTTTACAGGCAAAACAGCTCTCTGAAATAAATAACAAAGATTAAAAAAAATTCATTAATGCTGTTCTAATAAACAAAAAAGTCTTTAATGTCAACTTCCCACATAATTAACCAAAATGAAATAGTATGATATATGGTGGTGAAATATTTATTGTAAACCATATCAAAACTGAACTTTATGGCTTTAATACTATGTACAGTCAAACCTGCCTTAACAGTCACCTCGTTTCAGCGGTCACCTGCCTCTCACAACCATTTCAGACCCTCCCAAACGCTTTCTCTATATAATTTAACTCATTTCAGCGGTCACCTCTAACGCGATCAGCGGTCACCTTATTTTCGACGAATTCGTCATACCAACTTCCAACAAACATTTTAATGTTTTAACTACCAAAACTCTTCATGACGAAAAATATATGTTGTCAATATTGAAGTCAAAATGGAGATGGAAACCCATTTGCAACTGAGATCGTGCAGCTCGCAAGTACGATAACTCTACGTTTGAAAACATTAAAACAATTTGACCCGATCCCACCCATAAGGGATGTCAAAATCAGAATTTGTTGGAATCTCGTTTCAAAGGTCACCTCTCTTGAGTGGTCACTTTTTATACTTCCCGAGAGTGACTGCTTAATACAGGTTCGACTGTATATATAAAGCTAATAAACAATTTTAAAGAGAAAAAATATGAAATGTTTTCATGATTTAAACAAGCTTATTAAGAACTATAAATTATAATGTCATAATTCATCATATTTAGTTTTAAAGGCAATAAACTAATACAAAATTAATCATTCAAACAGGATTCAAAAAAGTCATAATTTTTACCATTATATGTTGTCTAAACATTTCGTAACAAGAGGTTTTGACCAAGAAACATCCATCCAATATGGTATTTACAATTCACAAAGTTGAAGCGAAGATAACCCTCAAACAAATATTCTTCCCTCTTGTCATATTGTCGCATTTGGTGAAGGCAATCATATGTGTAGCTTCAAACTTTTCATCAGGGAAGGCAAAAGAATGTACCGTAGAAAGGCTTGTATAGTTCGCAGTGGTACATAGTCTGCACCCCCTTCTCCCCACGAAATTTTAGGTAAAAAAACTTTTTGTAACTGTTAGAAAAGGTCTAATGAAACTCCGGTAATTTCAAATCCTGTGCGGTCGTTTGCGGTATTTTCTTGGAAAAACCTGTTTTCCATCATCAAACAGAAGCTGAAACTGCTTGTTAATGATTCTAGAACGCTTCATGATTGTTAAAATAAGTTTAATTTACTTAAAAAACAATTTAGAAACTTGTGTATGTTTAAACAGGAAGTTTAAAAAGCACGTGTAAAAGAAGAAATTAACCGGTTAGAGTCGAAATCCGTACATAACAGATATCACTATTATACGACTTTGAAAGTAAAACAGTTCCATCCTTTTGTAAAACAGTCTTTAATATATCTATCACATTAATGTTTGAAGGGTCTTAAGCTAATACAAACCATATTAGTCAGTATGAAACACCAAAACGGAACGAACAATAACCGATTTCGTTTTGTAGTTTACAAATTCTAAGCTGGTTTACAGTTGTCTTTTTCACTATGTTTGTATCGTTTCAATCGAGCAGATACCAGTTTATTGAAAAGAAACGAGAAATTTGTAATGAAAGGTTTAGTTTTTATATTTATCAGTATTAATTTGATATTGAATAGAAATAACTTATTAATATGGATGAGTTAAAATTATTAGTTTGAAAAATGATAAGAGCGCCCTCTACAATAGAAATAACAAAGATGGCGGAACGTAAACAAACCACCTCGACCGCGAAATTGAAATTTTTCTCTTATTTCTTGCTTATTGTACTCTATAGTCCGCACCCCGTCTGGAAGGTCCAATTTTGGACAATAAAACCGCGGACTATACAAGCCTTTCTACGGTAGACATTTTGTTGGGTATGAAATAGTCAAGATTTTCATTGACCATTAGCTACAGGACAATTGGTTCCCAAGAAATAAAATGCTTTCAGAGATTTCAGCTTTGACATGTTTTATTTAAAGTAAATGACTCAGACATTTTGCTTTGAACTGATCTAAAAATGGTTATCAAGATATTAATAAGTCATGCTCAGTCTCTCAGTCAAACTTAAGATTTTACAACTACTATAAATTCAGTACTGTTAAAACAGTTTACTTTCAGTCATTCTAGTGGAAAGAAAAAGTATATATCTTGACATTATCAAATGTTATGCCTGTATTTAGATAAAATGAGAGTTTTAAGCTAAAATTAATTAAATAATGTGGTAACATATATTCAATATATTAACCATTAGCTATATGTTGTCTTCTTTTCTTCAATTCCATCAATCTAGCCACCATGCCTGGTTTGTTTGTAGAAGGTGATTTACCATCTTCATCCATAGTAACTTCAATTGTCTCAGCATCACAATCCAGCTGAAAAATAGGTGGTTTAGCATATAAGCTAAAATACTCAAAACAATCACTGTTAATTTTTGGTCAAATATGGGGGGGGGGGAGGGAGGAATGAATCCCCTAGCTATAAAATTACAAAACAGGAGTGACATATACAGAAGACCATGACTGTACGTTGACCTTTTAATGTCTTTGTCATTTGTGCAGAGTTCTCGAAATCTTTTTTTGCCTGGTGGTCCTTGAAGAATATATGAAGGTCCTCACTATCATTTCTATTGCAAATTACCAAAATTGTGTTGGTCCTTCTCAAAAATGTGGCAGTCAAATCCCTAGGACCATCACTTATCAAGAACTCTGTTTGTGGTGTTGGGTTACTGCCTCATTGACATATACTACCACATCTTCTTTATTCCTGATATTTAATTTTACAAGATTATGAATACTTTATTTTGTTCAAAAAAGAAAATATGCATGGCTTACATCAGATATATCTTCAGAATCTTTAGTATTGGATTTCTTGTCTTTGACTTCTTCTTCAAATTTAATTTCTTCCTGCAATGAAGATTTTTGAGATTAACGATAAAATCATTCAGTGAATTTTATGTGTGCAAAAAACCTCACATTATATATAGGCATTGCAAATTAATAGATCTAGCCTGAATACCTGCACTTCTGAGGTTCACTAACGAGTTATGTTTTAAAACAATATATACCCCTGAAACTCTAAGAGATATCAACAAACACAACTTCCAAAATATTAAAGCCACTTTTCTTATAGCATGCAGTGCCAATCAATATATGTTATGTGAAAAGCAATACAATGTGAAAAAAAAAAAAGAAAATCATATACAGTTAACTCTCGTTGTCTCAAACTCAATTGACTCCAAATTTCAGATGAGACAAAGTTTTCTTGTGGGCCCAGACTTTGTTTCATATAAATATATGTATTTCGCCACCTGATGAGTTGTAATTTCCGTTGACTGGAACCAAATTTTTTTACGGTCCCAAAGTTAACAAAAGCACTCAAATTGCATTATATTTCTCGAACTAACACATATATGTCAATACATGACCTCAGGTACTTAAAAGGATTGAAGAGTTCATCTGAAAATACAACTGTAATTAAATTTTCACTGACCACTGTATTGATTTATGACATTGTTTTTCCACAAGTGTTTACCTAAGATTATCTTTGATCACCATGATAAATAATCATTGATACTATGTTATAGTTTACGAAAAATTATCTAAAATGTCTAAAAACAATTAACCCTAATCATACATTAATGAGCTTCATTGTGCATCAAGTAAGGATTAAGACTTAGTGATCAAACCAAAACTATTCAATCAGCTTTTTTAATCTTTTTGTATTTTCTCAGAAAAAGATTAAAATAAAAACAAGAGTGCACACGCTGAAATGTCTCGCCTTCTTTACTAACCATTGATTTTATGTTGATAGTCCTAAATATAAAGCTTTACTACAAGTAACACATAAACTAAACATGATCCAAGAAAATGAGGTCATGGTCAGATAAACCAAACGAGAAATACATGTACACCTTACAATCATTCAATAAACCAAACATAGTTGACCTATTGCTTATAGTTTCTAAGAAACAGTCTTAATCAAGAAAACTTAACATTGACCAATGAACCATGAAAATGAGGTCAAGGTCAGATGAACCATGCCAGACAGACATATACACCTTACAATCCTTCCATACAACAAATATAGTCGATATATTGCTTATAGTTGAAGAAAAACAGACCAAAACACAAAAACTTAACACTGAGAAATGAACTGTGAAAATGAGGTCAAAGTCAAATAAAACCTGCGAGACTGACATGTACATCATAAAATATTTCCATACACCAAATATAGTTGACCTATTGCATATAGTATTAGAAAAAAAGACCAAAACTCAAAAAACTTAACTTTGACCACTGAACCATGAAAATGAGGTCAAGGTCAGATGACACCTACCAGTTGGACATGTACACCTTACAATCATTCCATATCATATACTAAATATTGTAGACCTACTGCTTATAGTATCTGATATATGGACTTGACCACGAAAACTTAACCTTGTTCACTGATCCATGAAATGAGGTTGAGGTCGAATGAAAATTGTCTGATGGGCATGAGGACCTTGCAAGGTACGCACATACTAAATATAGTTATCCTATTACTCATAATAAGAAAGAAATAAACATTACAAAAAATGTTGACTTTTTTTTCAAGTAGTCACTGAACCATGAAAATGAGGTCAAGGACAATGGACATATGACAGACGGAAACTTCATATCATAAGGCATCTATATACAAAGTATAAAGCATCCAGGTCTTCTAGCTTCTAAAATATAAAGCTTTTAAGAAGTTAGCTAATGCCGCCCCCGCCGCCACCAGATCACTATCCCTATGTCGAGCTTTCCGCGACAAAAGTCGCAGGCTCCACAAAAAAACGAAAAGAAACTTTCTAAAAATCTCTTGTATACGAGAATAAACAATTTTGTCAACTTTAAATCATGCTAAGATCAATTGGAAATTAGTCTCTCGACCAAATACAACAGAAAAAAAATGAAAGTGTACAAAGAAATAAATAAGAGACGAAAAATCATAAAAGACCATTACATACAGATACATCGATCTCAAACCTATATTCATCTGGATTTATTTTAGCTTACCAAGATAAGCAAGAGTTGTGTCCCTTGGTCTGTCAAACTTCCAGTTGACTTCCAGATAACGAAAGTTAAAAGTATGTTTTCAAGAAAAATATTTATAACGAGGTATTGCTGGTCATACTTGAATAATATCTTGAACGAGATTGAAAACTGTATCACTCAGATTTGGATTTAATAAAAAAAAAAACTATATGAATTCAGTCATTCATGCAGAAAAATACAGAGTTTTGCACGGACCTTTAATTTTTTTCAAGTTTTGCCAGAGACAGACTGACAGATGAATGACCATAAACCAGTACAACACCCCCTCCCAAACCTCCTTTCTTTTGGACTGGAGTTTTGATTACCCACAAACACCTGCATTCAGTGTGAAAATTCAACACTAATAGTGATTTGTAACTGAATTACCGTGTGTGTACAGATTAGGACCTTTTATATAAATTTTTACTTGACGGCAAAGACGATACAAAATATTCCCTCCTCAACTTCATTGTGTTTGGATAAAAGATTATATTGAAATGTGTATTTTTTTACATGCTTGTTTACACATAGTGTTATCAATAACTGTTCATTTAAAAAACAACCAACAATCATTGCATATTTATTTGTTTTTACCTTAGGCTTTGATGTGACTGTTTTTGATATAGGAGACTGTAGTGCCTGTCCTGTCAGACAACCAATAAACAACTGACTGTTATCTATAACCACTAGAATATAAACAGAAAACAATCAATAATCTATGAAAAAGGGAAAACATACAGTATTTTAAAAAGAGTGTTAAATGACAGCTGATGATGTTCAAATAAATGGACTAGATGTTCAACTTGAATAAAACTGAACATTCTGGAAATCAAAATTACATTTAATATATTATTTCTAAAAAGTGCAAAATATAATATACCTATATAGCTATATATCAAAAAATAGATATCTAGATTTTCAATCTTATAACATCAAAATTTGCTCTGAAAGTACTGCTGATGATACTTAGAAAGACTTACGTTCAAAGGTTATTCAACAATACCTTTATTTAAAAATATATATCTTAAAAGACACTATCATCGTCAAGAAATGTTCCATCAACTAAGATTACAATATCCTGAAAAGAATATATATATATATATATCTTAAGCTAAAATATAGCTTACCTTGTATGACAATATCATTGTCCAGAAACACCCAGTTTACTAAGGCTATATATATCCATCTTGTTGGCAACACAACAAAACTTAGTAATAATGTACAAAACTCTATGTGAAATCTGCAAAAACAATTAATCAATGAATGAAGTCCATGAGTTGCAATAACATTCATATCTCAAAATAAGCAACATCTTTCTCAACAATACATTTAGGAAAAAGATGTAAATGTGACTACATATTTGGATATTAAATCAAGTGCTCATATCAAATCTTTCAGCCTTATTGGTCTTGAGTTAGTGTTCTCATCTTGCATGTGGGACATCAGGGGTTTGTTCCTTGGCTCGTTCAAACAAAAGGTTTCAATATCATTATTGTTTCTATGCCAAACATGCAGCATTAAAAGAGTAAGAACACTGACATGTTGGCTTTGAGTCACAATAAAATATGTTTGGGGAGGTTGACATGCCTTTCTGGCCTGACCTTCTCATTTCAGGACAAAACTAGGTATCTTAAATAGGGATGTTATACAAGTACTTAAAACTGAAAATGGAAACGGGGAATGCGTCAAAGAAACAACAACCCAACCAAAGAGCAGAAAACAGTCCAAAGCCATCAACAGGTTTTCAACACAGCTAGATAATCCCACACCTGAAGGCAGGATTCAGCTGGCCCCTGAAACTTGTAAACTTGAGTATCTCTGGTTAGTACAGAGTATCAAATACTAAAATGATACCTGACTAATCAGTTTCCTGTTAGGTTGTTGCCTTCTTGAAATAAATTAGATTTTTATTGAGAGCACCTCTTGGGAAATTAAACAGTACTAATCAAAATTAAAAGATGTTTCGAATGTTTGCACTTTTTTCTCAGAAAAGAGGTGGGCCATGCACTTGAGCAGCTTTATTAGGCTTACTTTTGGCTAATTTGTATTAGCCATTCCATCACATCTGTACCGTCAGAGCAAATATTTTCGTTGGCAAGACTGTTACTTACGTAACAAAGTTGAGAAACCAACTCTTACCAGAAAAAGTTGACATGATAATATTTCTCAATAAGAACAAATTAGTTGCACTCTGTGGTGACCCTCAGAGAATATAAAAGCATCAGTAAGTTCTAATCATCACCTGTTTGTTAATCATTAAATCATTAAATGTTTTTTCTTTACAATAACCAAATACTGTTGTTTGATCTGTTTTGACTTTGAAATCATTTTTCAATAGGTATTGTATAAATTATTGATTAGGTTACTGTTTACATAATTATGAGTAAATTTTAGTAAATGAGCTATAAATAATGATTTAAAATTCCTAGCTCTATTATCTAGTCCAAAATATCAATGTTGAGGGTTTTATGTCCATTACAGGACGACCCACAATACCCCCTCCCCCTCCACTTTTGGTTAGAAACAAAGTGAAAATTATGTCAACTGGAAGACCAAGCTGATTTCAACATAGAAAAAAGGAATTTTTGGCAATAATCCTTTAAAAGTAATCCTACCTTAATGATGGCAATATATTATCCCACTTTAGGATTCCATAAAAATGTGCCAGTAGCTCATTACACTTAACAACAAACTCAAACATCTGTATTATGCTGAAATAAAAGTAGGTATATGATAAGCTATATACTTAGTGTGATGAAAGATTTTAAACTGTTCTTCACTGATTAAGCATGGTACATTACATTAAAACTAATAGAGCAAGAAAAACAAACAACTATTTATAAAATAAACATAAAAATTTCTTTTGAAATGTAATATCTTGTCACATTTTAATTATTCAGATATAACTTATATAAATATATATATACTAATTATTTGCAAAACAAAGCATCATTCATTTTGAAGTAAGTATCTTCTATATTTTATTTTATTTTAAATCATACATGTACATCTTTAATGAACAATTGGCAATTCTATACATTTATACCAGAAAAATAATCAACCAAAAGTTAGATTCCAAACATCAGATCTTACCTAACTCTGAATTGTCTGACTGTACTGTATGCTGAATCTTCATCATTTTCATCTGAGGACTCATCATCAGGACTAGAGAGATGATTGACAGGCAATATTTTATCTAAAATCCTTGTGTGTATCTGTACCAAGCCAGTGGCTGCTATTACTACCACCAGTAACGACACAAGAACAAATACAGCACCTGAAATATATACATTTTGGAAATTAAGCATCGAAGGCAAAGTTCAAGTTCTTCAAAATTCATTTTTCAGTTACTTAATTTTGATTTTAAGTCTTTCTGGGTAATAAAACTGTCCATCCATATTGTATGATAATCCACAAGGGCACTTTAAGTATTAGGACAATAATTGCTGATCCTTTTTACCCATGTTGACAACTGACAGGAGAAAATACTGATCAATTTCAGATGATTTACTTCATTAATAAATTGTAACTTTTTAATAAGGCAAACCATAATATATCTTTTAAAATTAAAACTTTTGATACTATTTGGTAGAAAAATTTGTCCAACACATGCTTTTATTTACTACATGTACATTTTTTGAACGGTATTATATTTTAAGAGGCCTGGGGAATAGTTTGAAGCCAATCTACTCTAAAAACATACATATTTGAACATACCTTTTGTGAGGATTATACAGCAAAAATTGCAAATTATCCATAAACATAAAGTAACTTTTGGATATCTCCAACTGAAACATCAAATAAATTCTGTAAAGGTGCAGTACAGCAAGGTATTACAATTTATAGTTTGTTAATTTGACTGATTTCCTTTTACAAGTAATATTAAAACATGTGCATGAGATGTTAATATTTAAAAATAGAGTACAAATAAAAGAAAATCATTCTTTATTTTTCCTTCAAAAATCAATTGAAAATTTCAGAACACTGACTTTTTTTATTCTACGGTAAATTAAAGAAGCCATAACCCTGTGTTAGCCCTTAAGCTTATACATGTATTAATACTTTTCAATGCAAAGTAGCAATAACTGACTTCTATTTTAAAGTACAAATGTTACTTAGTGCATTTATGCGAGTCCAAATAAGGAATCTACTATTCTAGATCTGTAGTCAACAATTTTCTGTATTAAGTAATTTCTTAGTCATTATCCTCAATAAGATTAATTTATTAGTTTGTGGGCTGTAGTATTCTCAGTTTCGCTAAGTGTTGATATCATTATCTTTACTCATCATTTATTTAAGAAATGAATGCTTCTTTTTGTAATTTTATTAGGGTGTTAAAGTGTTGACCGAAGCACATTTTGTTTGAAGCACTTCATTCTAAAAATGTGTGCACGATCAACACTTTTACACCCCAATAAAATTACAAAAAGAAGCCTTCATTTCTTATAATTACAATTTTATGCTAATTAGACCATGAAAAAAAAGTTTTATCAAGTTTTTCTTTTATTTACCTGTGCACTTTTTTGTGAAAGCACATGTCATCACGAATGTAACATTTCATTTTGATATGAAGGTTAATTTTTGAATGACACAAGATTGTTGTTGGCCAATCAAACTAGCGGATTCTCGTGAGACATACATGTAATGAAATTATAAGGTCAATACTCTCCATTGGTTAAACCTGACAGAAATCCTGCTGTATCTGTGAAGTTTAATAATCATAATAATAGTGACCACAGTTGTATAAATATATAAGCAAGAGCAAAGGCTCTGTCAGTATATCAAGCTGCACTTTAAATACCACAGCAACAGAAGATATAGTCTAAACACATTAATTTTACATAACCTGCAAGTCACAAATTTCTTCACATCAGCATGATTAAAAACACTCATTTCACACGTTTAGGAAAATACCATTCTACGTATACATTTGTAATTATACAATACATGTATTTGCTGCAATTATAACACCAATTGCAATACATTGAGCTATGATAAATTGTATACACAATGTGATTTGGTTCACTCTTGCTGGTATTGATTGAATACTTATAAAACAAGGTGACTTAAGCTTCTTGTGATTGGGGTGACAATGCCGATTTACTACCCTGTTTGAACAGAAATATTTCAAAGTGAATTAACCACAAAAGATTATTGTCATTAATTAAAAAAATTATGAAATTATGACCTACAGTGATTGATAAATGAATCACATTGTGTGCACATTAATGCTTTCACAAATTGACGTGTTGGTGCTGTAAGACCCCTTTGGCTAAAATTACATATACATTTGTACATGTATGTAATAAATAGACTCACATTAAGTTTTTGTGTAAACATGTATAATTGTACTTACTTCCTTATGTCATCCAAGCAATATAAAACAAATGCAAATGGTTCAATTAATCTAGAAAATCTGTCAACTTCTTTCACAAAGTCAGCAAGGTCGACTCTGCCATATTTACTGGTACTATTTTTTGTTTTTGGTGAAGTTCCATTGACATCAGTGCAAATCTTCTCCTACAAAATTTAAATATATTAGAGAAATCAATGATAATTTAAGACATGGATGGTCTTCTCTAAAATCATTTGAAAAACTTATTGTAACTTTGTTAATAAATAACTCCTTGTTATTACTGTTTTATCTTCAGATCAACATTATATGAAATCTTAAAATTCATCAAAGATACATGTATTATTATCTACACCCCTCATTCAATAAATATAATTTGAGGGACTTCTTGTTTGGTGCATATAAAGTATACCAAACAACATGTTCCTGTTGGCTGGACAATACCCCAGGTGTAAGCAAATTCTTATGAAATCTGTAAGATTTACTGTAACTGGACCTTTTAAGTGACCAATAAGTGTGTACATGTAGGTGTGGCTTGAGTGAAAATTAAAAGAAATATATTAAAAACAGAATATATATATATATATTACTTTCAAAATATCATTTTAACCTTGGGCCTAATAAAATTGTTTGGTAAGGGGAACCTGACCCTACCTAAAAAAAAACCTGACCCAAATTTTTTTTTTAGCATTGTGCGATAAATATTGTCAGAGAGTCATCCTGAGTACTATCAATGTCCAAATACAATGTACTTGCTAAAAAAAATGCCTACCTACCCCACCTAAATTTTTTTGGACATGTTACCCAAACCAAACATTTTTTTTGTTTAGGCCTTGGGTGCCAATATAACTTTACTAGGTGTCTATTTGACTAGGTACTGAATTGACTATCCAGGATGCCAGAGTGACTAGAATTCAAAGATCAAAGGGCTTCCTTTTTCCTTTAAAGATCCTAACCCATATAAAGCTATTCAGAGTATTCTTACTATTCTTAACCCTAACATCAACCTAGAACCATAACCATAACCATAATGAGCCCTAAAGTATATGGCCTAAGAACCTCTAAAGACTAAAGTAATCTACGGCTGGTCGAAGAATGAGGAAGAAACAACAGACTGAGAAATGAACTGATGAGAGGAATCTGGGAACAGTAATATAAAGAATGGAGTATAATTTTAAAATAAAAAATCTGTCCTACTAATATATGATAAAATGAAAGAAAGTGTGTGTGTAAAAGGTGGGAGGGGGTCTCAATTTTCAAAACATGTCATTTGAGTAGTTCATCTGAATTGTGTTGAAGACATGCCGATCTTACGTTGTTCAAGCCCCTACCGCAAAAAATCGGATGAATTTGGGATTTTATTAATATCATACCATATCTTCCTGATTTTCATTCAGTTATTGCATCCTGTAAGCCCGAAAACCATCAAACATTCTTTGGGAAAGTTGATTGTATTTTTCCTAACACTTCCGTTTTCAATGGCGATAATAAATAATGTATGTATAAATCAATCCGGAATGGATAAGGTTTTTGAAATACGGAAATAAAAGCCGAAAAAGAACACACAAAACAATAACAAAGACAACAAAATCAATAATAACTATATAACCAATAGATTGTCCGTTGGCTCCTTCTAATGAAGAGGATAATTTTTGTCAGAGGTTCCGCCTGATCATGGCATGAACCAAGGACGTTTATATTTACTTCCGATTGGTTGAACCAATGATTTGTCTAGTATGTTTGACCATGTTTAACTATTTAAATCTTGGCAATAAAACAAAATAGTTTAACTACTAAATACCTATAACAGATCGACTGCATGGGACTATGTTAGATGATAGTCTCCAGCAGAGGAGGGATATAGACATCTTAACTTTTAGATTGGTCGAATGACTTTTGCCAACTTGATTGTATCACCGGTATCAGAGACATATATGCCGGTATATATATCTACTGTGGAATTAAGATTGTACCTGCTCTTTTCTGTAATGAAATGTGACCAATAGTTTTTTTTCTGGGCGCATCATCTCAATCTGATAATAATGCATAAGCTACAAAGTTTGGGAATAGTCCATAAAATCTTACTGTTATGTAAAATATCTGAGACTGAAAAATTCTCTATAAGGCAAAGTTGACCTTAGAAGGATTTGGCTGTTATATTGATGTCTTTTTTGTTGTCATATGGCTCTCCAACTGTTTCAAAGGTTTTTATACATCTTTGGCTCTCAAATATTCGGCATTGAGCATTCTTGATGAAGGTAAATCCAGAAAAGAGCTTCAGACACATGACATTTATGAAGTGTTGTTTTCATTTTTTTTTAATCAACGAACTAATTCATCGTTTGTCTGTTATAGTTCATGGAAATAGGCGTTTAACAAGTGCCCTTTAAATGCATTCAACCCAATTTTGATGTTCTTATAAAGTTTGTTATACTGATTGTAAGAGCATACGCTGACTTTTAATTTAGATGTTAAAATTTTGACCTCAACGTAATACGTGTAAAATTAAAAGGTTTCATAAACCTACCGTAACAACGCCATAATTTGGGACCAGTCCCACGGTACCAACGTTACTGGGGTATTTCGGGAATTTTTTGTATCCTTTAGCTTTCCTCACGTTAAAATACTACTCATTACTAGTAATCAAGGAGATAAAATAAGAACGATAAGTGCAACACTTGTGGAAAAGAGCGATGAATGTGAAGTCCAGGTTTCTTAAACTATTTACCAGAAAGGTAACTATTCAACTAAAACATGTTATTTAATGTAAAAATAATCTGAAATGCTGTCTCAGTGACAAAAAAAAAACAGTAACTTCTGTCTTTTTGTCCACGTATGGACTGTTTTTTTAAGGCCGTCATATAGATATATGTCGACTTGTTGCTGCAGACTTTGATTTGCTGAATTTATATGGAATTTTGTTGTGTGATTGTCTGTAAATAAATAATATATCATATAACATCTTTTATAAGACCATCTATGGATCAACACACCAAACACAAGAAAATCCTCATTCAAATAATCAATTATATTGTTGCAGACAAACTTGCAATACTTTCCGTTTGTTTTCATTGTCTTGCCGCTAGGTTTTGGTTACATTCTTAAATTTTCTCAGCTGTTTAAATTGCACGTTTGCATTATGCCAATTTTCCTTTATGTATGAAATAAATTATAATCATGCACGAAAGAACGAAATAAAATAAAAATAAATATTATCGTATGTCCACTTAAATAAAATGGATAGTTTTACACAAGCAGAAACGTCCGAGGCACAAAGTGGACCACGAAGAACACTAAGTAACACTATGGTTTACAATAGAGACCAATAGTCTATTTCCATAAAGCGTATTACTTAAAAAGGAGGAAAAAGATGTCTCTGGATTAAAATCAACCATTTTCTAAAGGTTAATGGCCAAACAAGTTGTGTTACAACAGAAGAAATTCAAGAACTTGAAGTTATTGACCTTGGATGCGACTCTTAATTAGACGACGAAGAATATATCTCGTCATCTGTAATAAAATAGGGAAATTGTTTATAAATACACTAACAACCGGCAAAGGTAGACAACAAAAGTTAACAGGGAATCTGATTATAAAAGATGCACGGTCCAAATCAGAGAATTTAACCATGTTAAACGTCAAAATCATAAAGAGTTAAATGAGACCGGGACAAACTTGTGAATAAATCGACAGCTGGCATCAATTTACCAGGGGAACGTAATTTGAGCAAGTTAATTTATATAATGCTGTAAAACATTCTCGTCTACAGACTCGGTAAACAAATGAAGAAAGAGACTGAACTTTTTCAAACACTGAACAACTTTTGATGTAATGAATGTCTTTTTCTTATTGTGTCCTTTTATCCATGATTATCACATTGAAAAGTTGTGTAAGAAACCTTAGTAAAAAAAACTGCAATCTATGTGAAATAAGAATGTTTTAGAGTGCAATACTGCAATAAACAGTTCTAAGACGCAAGATGATTTTTTTTTTGTATATTTGTACCTTTTAATGAACTATATTCATTAATGAACGGTTCAAATTCAGGGGAAATTAGAGAAAGAACAAAAAGATAAATCATGAAGAACTGGACTCTCACTCTGTTAGTTTGTCAAAAATTATGTGTCTCCATCTACACTTTAAAGTCATGTGGTTTCAAGTTTAGATTGCCGTCTTACCTCTCGTATTTACAGAATACTCATGACATCACCTTTGATCAAACCCTTTACCGGTCAATGAAGGATTTAAATTAGGTCATTATATAAACAACATAACTGAGAGGGCGATGTAGCAGCTTGATTAATTGAGAAAACGTTGGAAACCTGGCCTGGGATCCTGGCTCACTGCTCGACGAAGTATTAGATTGGGTCAGGATGTCAGGCTAGTTGGAAACCGAGTGGAGGCAATTAATGTAGGTCACAGGAAATTGTTGTTATTTTGCTTCTCTTTAAAGTGTATACACCGTATGGCGTCAACTAAAGTCAGCACATGCCGAGAAGCACAAGTTGCTACTTTTCAAATCCAATACATACATTTTACGTTGAGTTATATCAGATATTTCCTGCAGCTGGCCACAATAAACGAAAAGGTTCAATTGACTGTAAAATTTCAATGACGGGACCCTTCGTTCATTATATAAGTAGACATTTTTAGGTACAGATTTGGAAAGAATAGCGTATTTGTCTGAGTGATGCCTAGAATCCCTTCTGGTTGATTTGTTTCTAAACACGTGAAGCAGAATCTACAGAAAGAAGAAGTTGTCCGTGTTAGTATTGTGCATACATTTAATTTAGGTACTTGCAATATGTATATTTGTCCATTTTTGTTGGTCCGTACACATTTCAACCTCTAGTTCCGACTGCATGGGGTATAATATATGGTCACTTGGAAATTCTCCCATCTGTCAGTAAAATCAATGCTAACAGGGACGGGAAAAAAATTCAAAGCCACGTCCGTTTGAAATTGGTACGTTTAATCAAATATTTCATGTAGGGACAGTGCCACACTCTCTGCACGTTAGAGAAACCTAACAACTTTTTGAGCACTAAAAGAGTTGCCTATCCAATTAAAATACCCTAATTTTCCAGTAGTGGCAGTCAAAATTGTCAACCCCTAATACCGATGGTACCACTTTGCAGATCTATGCATAGTCTACATATCAGATTAATTGTTCGTGGTTTCCAGACACGTATCATTAAATACCAGTACAGGAATACACAAAACGTGTAAAACACTGAATACTTTATAGTACAGCCCGAAGAATGTCCTCAGATTTGAGGGAATCTCAAATTTCACAACTGATTAGCTTCACAGTTTGAAGTCCTTGTAATTTATATATCACTCTTCCCAATAAACTGACCACAGATGTTACACATAGGTTATCTGATAAGAAAGGCAACATTTTGGCATTTTCTATCTTTACTTGAAATATAAACATGATAAATATAAATATTCTTCATAAGATTTCGACAATCTAGTCAGTGTTTTTTTTATTAATCATGTTCAGATACAGTTAAAGGAATGTAATATAAAGTTATGATTTTTTTTTTATTAATTTTCCATTTTTTTAAAATTTAGAATAGATCCATAATCTGTTGTCATTTTGAAGATTAATTTTCATTAGAAATGAATATTCTTTGTAATTTTCACATTAATTTTGATAAAATGTCATTTAATGATAAAAGGAAATTTCCTAAATATTTAAAAGAAATTCTTAATAGAATATTCATCAGGCAAAGACAATTTGGAAAAAGAACCCTCCTTTTTATACGCCCGTTTATGAGAGGTATTATGGCATACCGTTGTCCATCCGTCCGTCTGTCTGTCCGTCTGTCGTCAACAAGTTGAATATGAACTAAAAAACGCTTTAACCAATTTACATGAAACTTTGGTAAATTGTTTATATCTATTGACGTGAGCTCCATTTCGTTTTTTTTTTAATAAATTTTAGATTTTACATTTCCGAGTTATGGGGTTTTATTCATATAAAAAAAAGAGATTTTTGTATTTTCGGACAGTAACTCAAAATGCTTTCACCAATTTGCAAGAAACTTTGGTGAAATGTTTATATCTATTGACATGAGCTCACTTTCGATTTTTTTTATAAATTTCAGATTTTACGTTTTCGAGTAATGGGGTTTTATTCATTAAAAAAAAGGGGGATTTTCAAGTTTTCGGACAATAACTCAAAAATGCTTTAATCAGTTCTCATGAAGCTTTGGTGAATTGGTTATTTCTATTGACGTAAGCTCCCTTTCAAATTTTTAATGATTTTACATTTTACATTTCCCAGTTATGGGATTTTATTTAAAAAAAAAAGGGTGATTTTCCAGTTTTCGGACAATATCTTTAAAGTGCTTTGAGCAGTTTTCATTAAACTTTAATGACTGGTTTCTTTCTATTAAGAAATCCTCCTTTTACTTTTTCATAAATTTCTGATATGACATTTAGAAGTTTATATTAAACTTTATTTTTTGAAAACGCGACAGGCGTATCATGCGCTCATGGCGGAGCTGTTTATTATTTTTGTGTTTAATTTTCATTTGAAAACATTCTTTCATATTTCAACATATTTTCTCTTATTCTAAGCATTTGATCTCACTCTTTTCAATGCGATATAACAAAACATTTTCATTAAAGCTAGGGACTGATTATTTATTTTCACAACTATATTTATAATATTCGAAAACATACAATTTTTAAATTATTTGTTTATTATAAATAATTCATGTATAGTCAAGTCATTATGTACCATTTAATCAGAATTAATTATTATCCTCTGCAGAAGTGAATCTTCTATATTCCCCAATGCATATACATGTATTGCATACATACACAGTATAAAAGTTTGGTTGTAACTAAGGCTCTTTTAAAAGTATTGGCAAACATATTTCGCCGAGCGTAGCGAGGCAAAATTTTTTTTGAAGGGTTTTTGAACCGCTGAAGGCCCAAGAAGCTATAGAACAAATGATGCAAAATCATGCCTTCTGGGTGTTCCCAAGACCCTTTCTTAAACTGAAAATGCAAGTTCTGTTTTAATAATTTGATGACAATATTTTGGTCTTAAAGCAAAATCACGTTATAGATTCAGTGTAAGACTTAAGTTTCTAGGAACAACATCAAAAGACAAATATGCATGATAAAGCAAAAATGTAATTCACATAGTTAAGTCTGTGGCTGCTGTGTTTTTTAAACTCATGATCAAGTTAATAATAAAATTACTAAATTACAAAATGAATGCAACACTAACAGAATACAGAAGGGCAATCAATGAACAAAAGACAAATAAATAAGAAACATTGATCCCGAAAAATCAGGGGCTACATCTGAGGGAGAACAGAACTTGCTTATTGCAAGGCACTCACGGTGAACACAATTTGATATGGAGACAAGCGTTTGGTTTTGAAATTTCCTACATGAGGCATTTGTCTCAATGTAGTTACGAACCTGATTTAATAAAAGTGAGGTAAGTGTTCCTGAGACAATTAATCTTAAGTTAAATGAAACCAATTTTCTGACATTTCAAGTATATTTAAATAATACTTATACTTTTATTATTAAAAGATATGGGAAGTGTTTCCCGATTTTTTTTTTTGGAAAAAAGATTAATTTATGAAGAATCTGTTGCCATCTCATACTTTCCATTAGACCTGCTGAGTTATTTATTTTCAATACATTGCAAGTCAGGTAATTTATTTTCACACTACCACAGAACAAACCATTTATTTTTGTGATTATCAAGGCTGAGTTATTTATTTTCAAAATCCTCCTGCCCCCCCCCCCCCCCCCCCCCCCCCCCCCCAGAATATCAAATGGTCGTCCCCTAAGTGAAATCAAGTATAGTATAAGGGTCGGACATTTGGTTAGTCACTTGAAAAGACGATTGTTTTGTGGGCACAGATATCGGTTGCCTTGCAATATACATGTATACGGACTATTCAAAGATTAATAGCTGAGCAGAGAGCATGGCCCTCTATATAAATACAAAACTGAAAGGCCTCGGATTAAACGTCCCAATTCTCGGGGTTTTGGGCGGTAGAAAAATGGAATATTCGGGACATGAGCATTTTTCGCGGACGGAATATTCAATTTAACCTGTTTCTAAGCAGGCTTTATTTTAAATTTCGCACAGCATAGTCGAAAGAAAAAAAATATTGACCTAGGCGTGTCCCTTTACAAAGAGTCGCCATTTAATTTGTCTTTGGTATACTATACAAGCCACATTTCAAGTGATTCTGAAATAAAAATCAGAATACAAACTTATAACTTCAAGAAGTTTTGCATAAAGAGAAAGAAATAACAGATGTCTTAATGAACACATTCAACCTTGAACCAGGTAAGATTTATGCACATACAATGCTTACTTTTGTTATTTTTCAATTTATCTAAATCCAATCATCTGTATTCACATGACATCACAATAAGTAAGCGAGACGTTTGTGACACAATAGATTAAACCCCCGGGATATCAAATGAAAAACCAGTTATGTATATGCAATCGTTATCATAATATGAATGTTATACGAATTTAAAAATCTACATTTATATTAAGTAGTTTTCTTTGACACTGCTACATTTTACTAAAATAAAGAAATCAGCGCACCTTCCATCAAGAAGAATTCATTTGAGATACCTGGATGTATTGTGACCTGATCAAAAGACGTGTCATCGAACTGTGTGAGTTGTCCTAATTTAGATTTGAAGAGAAAGTATTTGGCCTCGTAAATTAATGTAGCGATGATAAAGCTGCACTCGAAGTAAATATAAATATTATTATATTTTGATTACCGAAGTGTATAATAATCACCAGCACGCGTATATGCACGTCTGTAGCAATCAACTTCAAATTATCTAAAGCATCAGGAATGCTGTCTTATCGTGCTTGATTGTTCATCTGTTTAACATGTGGAATTACTATCATCTAAAGCATATAAATAGTATCGTCTGCTTTGCATCTGTTTACACACAACAATTTTTGGCAAGGAACTAACAGTAACGATCAAAATGGCTGAGGAAATTGAATTCCCGTTCAAAGTTACTGACGGATACCTCGGGCCGCAGGCGAAATTCTTCCCGTATGGATTGGCGTGTTTGTCGCATCCAGAACCAGTTCTAATATTGGACACTAACAAGTTAGAAATTGTTATTGGGACTTCCGAAAAGACAAGATTTACTACAAAATTTTTGCAAGTTCAACCGAAAAAGGAATGTAGTCAATATGTGTTCACACAAAATCAAGGATCGGAATACCATTTTACTATTGCTGTTCCTCATACTGGATGGTACAAATTCCAGATCTTTGCACTGCCGTCATCTGAAGCTGGACCAAACATGATAAATGTCTACAACTACATACTACACGTCCAACAAGCGAACCACTATGTAGAGTCTTTTCCAAAGCAGTATCCTCTCTGGAAGCAGGAGGGATGTTTCGTGTATGAACCACATATGATCTTGAAAGGAGTCCGAGAAGTCGGAGTGAAGTTTCGATATTTTATTCCTAAGGCTGTTGACGTCCAAATTAAAGTTGGGGACGACTGGAACCCAATGGAAAAGGTTGAACCTGACATTTATGAAGCTTATTTAGATTTTAGCAAAGGATATCCAAGTGGAACGAAAGTGAAATTAAATGTAAAATTTGGACGGAGCAGTAAATATGACATTTTGTTGGAATATACTATCTAGACAACCTATATGGTTATTTACTTTTTTTATAAATATGCTTGTGTTTGTTTTTTGGTAAGATATGTCACAATGTAAAATAATTTATTTTTATTTAATAGTTAATTTATATAAAACAAAACTATCTTTTCATTGCTTGTTTTTATTATGCTGTCAATACTCATTTTCGTTTCATCAAGAAACAAAGTAAGAGAAGGGCAGCTGCAAGTTTGTGACCTTTCAACACTATTTGATTTAGCCTGGCATCCTGACCCAATCTAATACTTCGTCGATCAGTTGGCCAGGATCCCAGGCTATATTTGATTTTGGCATAAACCAAAGCGGACGAAATCCGACTTTTGATACAATAAAACAACCATTACTCATCAAGCACATATGATCAGTAAATAACTGTCGTTTTTGTAGCTTGAATGATCGTTTGTTTGTTTGTTTTTTTTTTTTATAAACTCAAATGTAATGTTTAAAAGACTCAAATGTACCGGTTCCAATACTCACTGTTTGTAATTTGGCAATATTAACGTTAATCTATATTAATGGTCCAAGTAATTGATATGCTTAAGGGATCATATATAAGTCGTACAAATGGGTACCCAAAACTGAGAATGCTGGTTTAGCCCACAGTGTATTTTTACCACAATGCATTTAAAGATGTATTTATTGTTATCTATTCATTTATAATGAAAGTTACTTATGATGGGTCAAAATCGCTGGTTCAAATCACAAAGGACTGTTTCTACCAATTGCCGACTTCCGGCGTATTAAAATAGCTTTCTATACCAAAATAAAAGCAAAAAGATAACTTATTGTTAAGAAAAATATTTAGGCAGGTAATGATAGATTGAGAGTTGGACTAAATGTATCATTATATAAAGTTAATCACCGATAATCTCATACATATCAAGTGTGCCTATTCAGCGTGATTAATAGATAAACATGTGTGCCAGCTATTTTCATTATAGAAACAGTGGGATTCCAACGAACAATGGAAAGATGTACTAAATATTGACAACAATTATCTGTGATGAACTTTACACTTGCAAATTAAAGTGTTTTGACATTCCACCAAGCAAAACACCACAATATTCAAACTCATTCTTTGTAAAGACAGTGATCGCGTGGAATCAGCTTGACGACACTGTAGTGCGCGCATCAAGCGTAGAGAGCTTCAAATCTGCTCTCACGCCCCGTCAATAAATCGGCGGCGCTCTCTCAAACCGTTGTATTAAAGCCAGTATTGGTATCGACAACGTATTCATACAGATACAGATACAGAAAGAAAATCTGCTATTTTAAACAACCTATACAAAAAGCTATGTCCGATTAAATACATTTAAGAGTCATGAGATTTCCATTTTCCAAAGTGTTTGGGATCCCTTAACCTTTACACTCTTTTACAATTTTGATTTTCCATAGGTGTGTTATTCTCTGACTCACGTTTTCCTATATGTAAAATTAGTCATATGAATATTACAGCAAATCAATTGAGAAGACCAAACCAACATGAAATTAGAATACTTATTGATTAGAGTTTAAATTACAAATGGAAGAATATTTATTTTTTCTTATAAAACCGTGAAAATCCAACTTAAGACATATTATTAATGGGTTACGACCCCTTTCTGAAAGAGAGTATGCTTGAAAGAAATCAGTTAACAAATGCATGCAATATCTACCCCCACCCCCTTCCCAATAAACCTTAAAGCCAAACAAAAAACAAAACAAAACAAAAACAACAATAATAAAAAATAAACTGTTGACACAGAGATATGTCTCGCCTATCGGCATAAAATTCAGAAAAAGACAATCTGAAGGACGGCAACATTGCTTATCAATTCAGTCACTGGACCATAATCTAGTGGGCAGGGCCTGCAAATGGTCGACAAACTGAGATGTACAGGCAGTAATGTAACTTTATTGAAAATATCGTTGTTTATTGTAAGTAGTTCCTATCAATATAACTTAAACAGAAAAACTTATAAAATTGCTAATTAAATCAAAGTCATTGGACCATGAAAATGGGGCAGGACCTCGTAATAGTCGTCAAAATGATATGTAGTGATAGTAATGCGACTTCATACAAAATATCATTGATCTATCACAAGCAGATCCTATCAAACTAACTTCAGCAGAAAACTTAACATTGAAAATTGCTTATCAAGTTAATTCAAAGTCACTGTACCATGACTTTGTGGGCAGGGCCTCAAAATAGTCACCAAACTGATATGTACTGATAGTAACGCGACTTCATACAAAATATCATTGATCTATCACAAGCAGATCCTATCAAACTAACTTAAGCATTAAAAATTGCTAATTAATTCAAAGTCACTGGACCATGTCCTAGGAGGATGGGCTCAAAATAGTCGTCAATAATAGCAGAAAACTTAACAATTGTTGACGCCGTCGCCGTCGCCGTCAAAGCAATCCCTATGTCTCGCTTTCCACGATTTTCGTCGCAGGCGAGACAAAAACCAAACACACGGCGTAGAATGAATTGCACTTGTACATAAATAAAGAAAAATAATGTTCATTTTCAGGTTTCAAGTTTTGAGGTATATAACTCTCTACGTAGTAAAAACATACTAATCCATGCAGGCTCCGTGTTGAAGGCCGTACTTTGATCTATAATGGTTTACTTTTTATACATTGTGACTTGGATGGAGAGTTGTCTCATTGGCACTCATACCACATCTTCTTATTTATATAAACATTTTGCACAGATAGGTTAATGTTAATGTGTGTGGGTTGTAGAACAAAGTAAAAGTATCATATCACATCCCCTCTTTTCTCCATTGTAACCATTCTCCCTTTTTTGTTGGTTTAATCATTACATACTAAACGGACATGCATCCAGTCCTAAATGATAAAGAACAGGAATTGTGGGGTAAATATCAAAGAGACAGCAAACCACCAACACATATATATAGAACTAAAAACACTGAATTTCGTTCAAAATCGAAGACGTCAATATGGCTTCTTTAAAAATGCGTTGCTATTAACTTTCACCAGGAAAGCCATATCCAACTTTTGAAAAGCTAACGATGTATTAGTAAACGGAAGTTGTACAACTTAAAATTGTCCCGAACGTGTCAGAAGATACTTTTGATGGTCGCACATGACTCAAGACAATAAGTGAAGGCATAATAATTAAACAGGCAATACGTTCAACGATTCACTACGACCGACTTCATTTTTATCGCCTCCAGAAGTTACTATCGCCTGCCATTTAAATATAGTTGTACATGTTAAGGCTGTGGTACAGGTTTAGTGAAGAACTGAGAAAATGTCACCTATTGTTATGAAAATAATTGATTTAATTTTTTACAATATTCATAGAAGTGATAAGCAGTATTTCTTATTCTAATTATTTACCGTATAAAAAACGTTGAAATTATATTATTGTTGTATTAACTTAAACGTCTCTTGCTTTGTCGTAGTACATCAACTAACAGATTCCATGTCTGTTTAATGAAATGAGTAAACACACATTAAATATCTGACCCGCGGCATGCAAAACATTTTTTTTCTGTAGCATACATAAAGAAGAAAGTCCCCTTTGGTCTCATATCAGATATGGCGACAACGGGATTATAGCAATTCCTTTGCTACCGTCTTTGATCTAGCACCTGCGTTGGCCCATAGTTTTGTTTAAACAGAGGTTAATGTTGCTTTTGGTTTTATTTTCCAGAGTTGTATTTTGTGCTTTTCTTCTTTCAATATCTTGAGTTGTTTTCACCGAAAACAGTGTCAGTCGGTCCATGCTTCCTCCAAGAAAAAGGTGTTTTATTTTCATCAAATTATCACATGTGGACTTGAAAATGGGTATTTGCTGATTCGTCTCAAAGCACGCAGTATTAAAAAGTAAGAGCAAAGACTAGTCTACTCGGATTAAAAATAAATCTAGTAGGCGTCATGTTTACCCTGCTAACTTGAAAATTCAACTAAGCGTGTCGGTCTAGTATAAAGCAGGGTCAATATTCATATTCATAATCACAGGTTCCTGTCTTGATATGCAAATATTGCATAGGGTGTTAAATGCCAATCCATCCGTCTATCTAATCACAGGATATGAATCATCCAACGTATTTAAAACAGGAGTAACAGAGTGTCATGAGCGGAGCGGAGCAGGAACTGATCCTTCTGGGGCATGTGCACACGAGTTAACCGCAAGTTTTTAGTAGGTTTCGCGTAGCCTATTCTTTAGTTTTCTGTGTAGTGATTTGTGAAATGTTCGTCTTTTGGCCATGGTAATTTCGGTTTTTCTTATGCAACTTATGGTTCAGTTTGGTTGGCCCATTGGTATCGTCTCCCAATTATGTTTTAGTAATGATTTTTCTCATAAATGTTGACAAATTGTGTTATCTACACGAGCAAAAATCTTCACTATCAAAAATTACATAAACACAATGCTACACTAATCTGCAGTCGAATATTTTTAATGATATAATCAGAATTCTTATTACACTTCAGATAAGATGCTTGAATACGTTTTTATACGACCACATAAATTTTTGCGGCCGTACAATGGTATGATGCTGTCGTCGTCGTCCGAAGACATTTGGTTTCAAGACAAGTGAAATCGTACCACAAAAGAAAGGTTGGGATTGATTTTAGGGATTATTTTCCTAAATGTTTAGTAATTAGTGGTAAAAAAAACAGGTCTTTTCCGTGTTTCAGGACAATTACTTGTGTATCATTGAAGTGTATGGATCTTTAAGAAATTGTACCACAAGGTTCCATACCTCAGAGGCACAGGCTACAGTTACCCGCAAAAAGTAACAATAAGAAATAATTATTGTTACCTTCGAGACTAATTGCCAAGATGTATTTCCGGAGAGGGACCCGATTTCCTACGGAAATTGCAGGTAACAATAATTATTTTTTTTTATTATTACCCGCAAATATTTTTGAAAATGTTTGATTTGCGAGCAATCTGTGAAATTAATTTAAACAATTAAATTTTGATATAAAATCATTAACATGATTAAACTTCCAGATATATTGACCAATATGACTTTCATTTTTATTAAACAACTCACTTTTGAGCAAGATGTCCAATTTGTGGTCGGTGAAAAGTTTATATATTTTCAAAATGTAAAAGATAAACTTCAACAATTAAATTCAAAATTTGT